TTACTCAGAGAGTAGTAAGGGTGTGGAATGCCCTGCCTGCAAAAATAGTAGACTCGCCAACTTTAAGGGCATTTAAATGGCCATTGGATAAACATGCGGATGATAATGGAATAGTGTAGGTTAGATAGGCTTCAGATTGTTTTCACAGGTCGGCGCAACATCGAGGGCTGAAGGGCCTGTACTGCGCTGTAATGTTCTATGTTCTATGTTCTAAGCATTAGTCCACACCTTTCAATTATTGGTCCAATAACATGATCCCAATGCTACAATCCCTCCCTTTGTAATTGTGAGGGACTCATTGGGTTCAATCTTCCAAGAAGTGACAATCTGTTACTCCCTTTTACACAACAAAAGATCGCCATATTGCTGACAAGAGATTCTAATCAGGTCCCCTTCAGAAATGTGGAGCCATAGTTCCAATTTGACAGGTTCCTCAGAGAATAGAACAGTTGAGGAGGAGTAAATCACTCCTTTTTCGACAGCATTCAGTTGCTGTATTCTGTCATTTAAAGGCCCAGGGTTCACAGAGTGTCACAAAAACTCAAATTGCTGGAAAAACTCAGCAGATCCAGCAACTTCTGTTTCTGATTCAGATTTCCAGCATCCACAGTTTTTTGTTTTATTTCACAGACAGCCACTCTAACAACACTCACGAAACAGTAAGTACATCAAGTAAATGTGAGGTTATGGTGTCAGGAGTGCTAAATGGGTAGGGGTTAAGGTATAATGTAGGTAAAGTGCCAAGTGGTTAGGGGTAGTGTGTGAGGTCTGGTGGGTAGGGTGCAAGTGGGTAGGATTAGGGTGTCAGGACTGGGTTGCCAAATGGATAGGGTGCACGGATGTCATGGGTAAAGTGACAGGTGAATAAGATGCTAGGTAGATAGGGTGCCAAGGGTCAGCTGGCAAGAAGTCAAATAAGTAATGGAGTGTTTAGGGTAGGCCATGACAAGCAGGAGATATTGTGCCCAGTGGGAGGTTGGGACAATAGAGTCAGCTTGCTGAGGTTAGGAGTGGGTAGTCAAGTTTGGTAGTGGGGAGTGGGTTGTGTCTTGAGAGAGGAGGAAGGGTTAGGTCCTGGGGAGGTGGGGGTCAGGTCGTAATGGAAGGTGGTAGGGTCAGGAGCTGGTGTCAGCCTGGGTGGTGGTGGTGGTGGGAGTTGGGTTGGAGGGGGCTGTTGGTGTTGAGGTTATCTCTGGAGTGGATGGGGGGTGGGAAAGATATTAGTGCCAGAATAGGGAGGGTATCAGCTCCAGTGGAGAGGTTGCGATGGGGGTAGGTGGGTGTTGGATCGAGGGCTGTAAGGGGTCTGAGGGCTGTGTAGCTGAGGGATTATAGAGGGAATCGGGTGAATAGTCACTAAGGAATTAGGCTGTGTATTTAATAGTTTAATTTGCCTGAGTGATTATTTACTGATTTCCTTCAAAGTCTCTGATTTGAATGGATATTTTCAGAATGTTTCAGGCAAAGGGGAATTAATTGCTCAGTGGAATGTTTAATTTTCCACGCAATTCCTTCAGAGCTTAGTACGATGGGAATTTTGCAAGGTCCCCATGCACAACTCTCATCCACGCTTCAGAAATAGTTTAATGGCCATTGGACAATCTGGGCTATAATATTCACCAGTGGGTGAAGAGTGTGCAGCAAACTGCTGGAAATGTCTGTGACTGACCACCAGGGAGTGCAGCTGAGCAACAGAGACAATTCTCAGCCTCCCCACGCAGGAAGCCACAACAAATGGTGTGAAGAAATTGTCTGCGAGAAGGCCTAAAGATGGAAATTTTCTCTGCATGTTTTTAAGATGATGTTGTTTGTGGAAAAATGCTGCTGCACATTGAGTGGTGTCTGTTGTAATAGTGTGGTTAAACTGAATCGCCAGACACCCGCTGCTGGCACAAAGTTGTATGAGGCAGTTGGATCCTTCATTTCCATAAGGGAGATTTACTGCCATCATTGTCATTTTGGGTTGGGGTCTACAGATGCTGCTTTGTCTTATGTGGCCAAGGAAACCCCACCTGCTTTCACACTGTAGGGAGTCTATGAATCGATGAGGCTATTGTCTTGGAACAAGATGTCATTCATTGCATCTAGCCACGTTATATTGGATGATAGACATTGTTACCAAGATTATGAGGAGACCTCAATGGTCAGTCTGTCTCCTTCAACATCCAGAGGCATTCTGCGTTTCCCCACTCAAGTCCTTGTGATATCATCCAGCTGGGTAGAATGCAATGTGGTCTTCAACATGAACCCTTTCAGAGCCACTAACTTCTACAACATGTTAAGAAGGCAAACAGCAAAATCAGCTTAAATACACACAGTTTTCAAGAGCTCTTGTGGTGAAGTGGTCATGTCCCTACCTCTGTGCCAGGAGGCCTGGCTTCAAGTTCCACCTGCTCCAGAGGTGTGATAACATTTCTAAATAGGTCAGTATAGAAAAGCAGTCTTCAGTCCACTGTGTTATAAAGTAACAGTCCTGCAGTGGAACCATAATGTGGTGTCTCATCAGCTGATGTTAAACTCTTTGACACTTGTTCTTAAACTGGAACAGCAACAACTTGCATTGGTATAGCATCTTTAACATGGATAAAAGTCCAAAGGTGCTTCATGGAAGCGACTATCAAACGAAGTTTGACACTGTGACAAATGTAAGGAAGTAATTAGGACACATGGCCAAAAGTACTGTCAGTGACACAGGTTTTAAGAAGTGTTAAAAGAGGACACATATGTGGAGAGGTTTCAGGAGGGCATTCTAGAATGTTGGGCCCCCTGGTGGCAGAGTTTGAATCAGAGATATATGGGAGGCCCAAGTTAGACAATTACAGGAAGTATGGGTATTAGCCGGTTGATGGATGTTAGAGATTTATATGTATAGAAGAAATGGATTTTGGAATTCTGCTTTTTTGCCCTCCTCTGTTTTTTCAATTAAAGCAAAATACTGTGGATGCTGAAAACCTGAGAACAAACATGGAGAATGCTGGAGAAACTCAGCAGCTCTGGCAACATCTGCGGAGCGAGAAACAGAGTTACCATTTCAAATCTAATATGAGAAGAAGACAGCTCTGCAGAAGGGTCATCCTGGGCTCAAAACATTAAACCTG